GGTGCTTAAAATCGGAAGGATACGGTATTTGTTTTCAAATTAATGTTTTTTTTATTCATTTAATTTTATTCAAATTTATATATATATTTTTTTATTTATTAATCATCAGATTTTTCTAAACTTTAAAATTCTTTTTAATACCAATTTTTTTTTTTGGATTTTTTAAAATTTTTAAATAATTATAAAAATTTATAAAAAAGCAAATATTTATATTAAACTTTAAATATAAAAGCTGTAAAAATTTATAACTTATATGATATCAGTTTTATTTTTTTATTATATATTTAAAAAGTTATTTGTAATTTATAACCATAAGGTTTTATTTTTGAATACAAATAATATGTATAATACAAAAATAACTTATATTATTTAAAGGAGAAAGGTTTTGTTATAGCTGTATTTTTAACAATTTATTAACAAAATTGTAACATAATTCATTAAAAATAAAAAGTCTGATTTTTAAATATGAAAGGATCTAAAATAATGTTATAAAATTATATATAAAATCTTTTATTAAAAGTATGTAATACAACCTTATTTGTAAATATTATTATAATTTTCTTTTATTTTTATCAATTTCTCAAGAACCATAATTTTTTAAAATTTTATTATGATATTTTATTAAATGAAAAAAAATTTTCAGATTGTAATCAATGTGATAATTAAGTAAAATTTCACCTTCACGTATTCGTTTACATATATATATATAATAAAGGTGAAAAAATAACTGTGTAATTCACGTAGGGTGGGAAAGATGGTGGATAAATACAAATCATGCATGTCTTTTACTAAGTATTGCAGGACAATTGTCATGATAAAATGACATGTTACACATGTCTCTTCAAAAACCATTGTTTGCATTTCTTTGAATGATGCACCTAAATTTTCAATATGTTTCCAAAAGAATATTTCAAAAAGAAAATAATCCTAAAATTGACATGTTAATTTATTTAAATCAGGAAGAGCTTTTTCTTCGCATGATTTTTTTAACAATAACGGAACAAAATATCATTTATTTATAATTAAGTTTACCATTCTTTACTGGATCAGCGAAAGGATCGATAAATGCATTTTAATATCGAACATGCGGGAGGAGATCAATGGTTCGGTTGTAAATTTAATTTACAAAATAAACAATAAATATTAAAAATAATAACAAGCATCTGCCATAACTCTTGTTTCTATAAATCTTTTAGATTACTGTTAATAGTTTTTTGAGATTTTCTTCTCATTTCGTAAATAATTTTGTAATGCTACTCACTAAATTATTATTAAATATATTGAAGTTCTGATCAGATTTACTTTCGATCCCAGTTTCCCATTTGCTGGTATAATCGAGATTTGGGCTAGGTGTTTTGTCACCGGGGTGACACTGGTGATGTTTCAATTTTTATTAGAGGTGATGTTTATTCGTCACGCACAGTCGTGACAAATAATCATAATCAGCCAATGGGTTATGATGTGCCACAGTCATTCATAATTTTTTTTTAAAAAGAAAAAAATTTCATCAGAATCGGAATGGTTTTATTCTGAAAATGGATTCGGATAAAGAAATTTTTATAAAAAAAGCTAAAAGACGTGAAAAAGTTGCAAATCATAAGACTCAAGTAAATGATAAATTAGACAAAAATTCTAAAATAAAATCTAGTGATAAAGCTGATACGAAAAAGTCAAAAAAGCAAAAGAAAAGGAAAAGGAATGAACAAGAGGAGTCTAATACTAAAAAAAATGATAATAAAAGAAAAAACAAAAAAGTGGATGATGATGGCAATTCATCCGAAAATAATATAAAAACAAAGAAAATTAAAATTAAGAAAGATGAGGAGAAAATTGCGAAAAACAAGAAAAGCAAGAAAAATGAAGATCAATCTGAAGAAACCGACACATCAAAGACTATTAGTGACGATGATTCTGTATCGAAAATGGAAATAATTTCACAATCTAGTGTCGACGAATTTTATAAAAAAAATGAAATTCAAATCACTGGTGATTTAATCTTTAAACCGATCATGTCATTTACACAATTGGAAATAGACGAAAGTATCAAAATCGTTTTGAATAAATTCGAAAAGCCGACGCCTATTCAAGCAAGTTGTTGGCCGATTTGTTTAAGTGGAAGGGATGTTATTGGTATCGCTGAAACTGGGTTAGTACTTGATGTATTTTTTTTTTTTTTTAAAAAAAAAAAAAAAAAGATATTGAATTTTTAATATTATCATTTATTAGTTCTGGAAAGACTCTTGCGTTTACCGTACCAGCTTTGAAACGTATCAAAAACCTATTTCACGTACCACCGAACAATAAACCATCGATTCTCGTAATTGCGCCAACTCGTGAATTGGCAATGCAAACACAAGAACAATGTAAAAAATTTGATTCAATTTGCGGCATTAAAAGTGTCTGTATTTATGGTGGTGTTCCCAAAGAAGAACAACGTAAAGCGTTACGTAAAGGTGTTCATATTGCGGTTGCGACTCCTGGTCGTTTGATTGATTTGATTAACGAGGGTATTTGCGATATTAGCAACGTCTCTTATCTTGTATTGGACGAAGGTGAATAAATTTTTGAATTTGCTTCTAATTCATTTTTAAACAATTATTTCCTTACATATTTTTATATGTAGCGGATCGTATGCTTGATGAGGGTTTTGAAAAGGAAATTCGACAGATCATTGTCAAGACCCATAAGGATCGACAAACTGTCATGTTTTCTGCAACGTGGCCTGAATCTGTACGTAAATTGGCTAATGATTTCTTGAATAAGCCCATGAAAGTTACAATTGGTTCTCCCAATTTATCAGCAAATAGCAATGTCACGCAGATTGTTGAAGTAATTGATAATACCACGGATAAGGAACGTCGTTTGTTAAATCTTCTCGAACAATATCACATTAATAAGAATAGAATTTTGGTATTCGTTCTTTACAAAAAAGAAGCTTCACGTGTCGAAAATATGTTGGCACGTAAGGGGTTTGAAGTACTGTCGATTCATGGGGATAAAAGTCAATTCCAACGCACGGAAGCATTGAATGCTTTCAAAGATGGAATTTACCCTCTTTTGATAGCTACGGATGTCGCTGCTAGAGGTATAGATATTCCCGATGTGGAATATGTAATTAATTATACTTTCCCGTTGACTATAGAAGATTATGTTCATCGGATTGGTAGAACTGGACGCGCTGGTTGTAAGGTAAATGAGTATTAATTCATCTCAACTAAAAAATATCCTACTTATATGAATATTTCTCATTTACAGGGTATATCTCATACTCTTTTTACTCCACATGATAAAGCACATTCTGGAGAACTCATCAATGTCCTACGTCAAGCCAATCAAAAGGTACCAGAATCCTTATTAAAATTTGGTAGTACCGTTAAAAAGAAGGAACATAAAGCATATGGTGCTTTTTATAAGGAAGTTGATCATAGTTTGAAACCTACAAAAATTAGATTTGAAGATTAAAAGTTTTCGACACGTTTTTTGTAACGATAATGTACTTTTTTTTTTTTTTTAATTTAAAAATTGATTTAAATCATTGTCCATATCCTTCATTTGTGCAAAATCATATAAGCATAAAAAAAAAAATCTTTATAAAGTTCAATTTGATGTCAAATAAAAAGTTAGATTGATTAGTTAAAAAATAGGTTTGGTTTTATTACACCATGTGTACATTTGTGGTAAATTACCTCGATAAATGCGAAGTACTGTATAAACATTCTTGCACACGAACAATAAATACTAGGAGGATTCTACACCGTTGCTTTATTTGTTTATTTTTTTTTTTTTTTTTCCTGTTGCAATATATGTTTACAATAAATGCTAACGAAATAAAATGGTACTGTACAAAGTTATGGATTATCATATAATACGCCGCAGGCGGAAAGTGTTAGGTCATTGGTAGGTTTATTCATCGCGTTGCGATTTTGTTTATTGATAGCAGCACAGGTGATAGAGTAAAATTCGTCAGCTATATAACTTATATTTTTTTTTTTATCTTTTAATGATGTGATACTGCCATGAGTTTTATTAAAGATTTATAATTACAAATATACTAATTATTAAAATAAAAAGATAAATTCGAAAACCTGTTTAATCGAGGATTTTAAAAAATTTTTTTTCTTAATATATGCAGTTAGTGGGTTGATTTTTGTTCATTAACTACCTTAAGGCATAATTTTAATGCGAATTTACTCACCAAATGTTGTGACATGGCACCATCCTTGTAGATCTTGACCACAGGTTTTGATCCATAAGATAATAGTAAGAGCGTAAAATTAACTTTAAAACCTTTCGCATTTTTCGTTTATTGTTCTTATTAAATACTATGGAAAATGGCATTCATTTTAATAATGACAGAGAAGAAAGCTAATGTCTCAATTAGATACTTGCAAATTTCGTTCTATATTATGAAGACCATTTTTTGAAAAATTTATTTTTTCGCAATGATATCAAAATTTGATTCACGAATCACGTGATCGGCCGAGCCCCGGTCAATCATTAAATCTGGCCGACTTTATAATTTCTTGATGCTAGCCAAGAAATCACGAGATTAACTTTTTCCATCCGGGAAAATATATGATTGGTGATCATTTTGAACCATTGACCCTTTCACGATGATTAATTTTGCATTTACGCATATAGGGTGAATAAATAGAATAAATGCTTAAATTATTTATTTATCTAATTTATTTGCTAAAGGGGTTAGTAATCGAGTAAAGTTTCAAGAGAAACAAATAAAAATTTTTTTAAAAAAAATGCTTGTCGAGGATTTTTGGCCAATTATTTAAGTTATGAAACGGTAATGCGTGGGTTACACTAACTTTAATACTGCTGTACCTATTTATTGTATTAAGTATTAGATTTGTGAGACACTTGTCACTTGGGAAAGAATTATGGATAAAAGCTACTTTTATTACACCAATGTAAAACCATAAATTAATAATAGATAAAAAAAACCCCCCCTAAAAAGTAATACGGCATTTAATTAAAATTGTTTTTGAATGGAATCACAAAGGATATTGACAACTTACGGAATCCCCATCACACGATCTTCACATGGGGACTCTTCTAATCGAAGGGCAACAACGGGTACCACCGTTAGTCGTTCTAGTAATAGGTATTCCGTTAATGCACTCTATTCAATGGCCGCTGAACAAGATGTTGAAGTCGAAGATGATTTGGCCAGAGGTAGAGTAACTACAAAGATTGGAAAGGATCCCTCAAAATTAACTAGAGTTAAATTCATTTGATAATTTAGAAATATACAGTATCTTATGATCAAAAATTACTCAACAATTTTTCCCTTAACCAATACGGTTATTGCATGTAATAAATTGCTTGGAAAGGGTTTGCAATATATAGTAGCAGTACACTTCTCTTTTTTCATAGCTTTAATTCAATTCTTTATAATACAAAACCTCTTATTCTCAATTTCAAGAATTCACCGATTAATATTATAATCATTTCATTTTTCTAGCCCAAAAACGATTACGAGAATTAAAAAGTCGAATTTCAACACAATCCAAAAAAAATTTCGTTCTGGAACGGGATGTACGATATCTGGATTCACGTATAGCTTTATTAATTGCGAACCGAATTGCATTGGATGAGGTATTTTAATTAGATTAAAAGATTAAATAAATAAATATATATATATATATTTATAAAAGCATGGTGTTGACATAAAAATTTTTCTTAAAAAAAGAAACAAGAAGTGGAAAGTACATTTGAGAGCACAGATTCATTAGATGGTATTTTTCCGGATGATCGTAAAATTCAACAATACGGAAATCTGTTTTTTCTACTCCAAGCGGAACCACGACACATTGCAGTTTTATGTCGTCTGGTCAGTCTCACAGAAATTGATACTTTGTTACAGACAGTTATGTTTACTATATACGGAAATCAATACGAAAGTAGGGAAGAGCATTTATTATTGACAATGTTTCAGGTAAGTATTCATCTAGTATTGCGTAATTTAATTTTTTTTTTTTCATTTAATGATACATGCTACTCTTTTTTTTTTAAAAAAAAAAAATTAGTCTGTACTTTCGGCACAATTTGAGACTACATTAGATTTCAATTCCCTACTTCGAGCAAACACACCAGTTTCTCGAATGATGACAACATATACTCGGCGAGGGCCAGGTCAAAGTTATCTTAAATCAGTTCTTTCAAAACAGATAAACAATTTAATTGAGCTTAAGGATCTAAATTTGGAAATCGATCCATTGAAAGTATGAGGTTAAATATGTTAAAAAATTATCATCATTATCATCATTATTATCTTGATCGTTAAGGAATGTCGCAATTTATTATATCAGGTTTATCAACAAATGATAAAGAAAATTGAAGAAGAAACTGGTTCATTACCGGCAGAACTGCCACGCGGTGTTACGCCAGATGTTGCGGCTGCAAATGCCGATGTTCAATCTGCTGTATCACCACGTATAACAATGCTTATGGAAATTGCAAACTCTTTCCTTCAAACAATCATGGAATCTATAGATCAAGTTCCATACGGAATTCGCTGGATTTGCAAACAAATTCGTTCATTAACTAAAGTAAGTGGTAATATTCTTGAGTTATTGGTCATTATTATAATCATTTAAGTAACATTGATTATTAATATTAATATTGACCCTGTTAGCGGAAATATCCTAATGCTACTGAGTTTGCCATTTGTTCATTAATTGGCGGATTTTTCTTTCTACGGTTCGTAAATCCAGCTATAGTAACCCCGAAATCTTGTATGATAATAGAAGGAATTCCTGGACATAATCCAAGACGTACCTTAACTTTGGTGTGTAAAATAGGTTATTTTGCTATTTATTATTTATTATATTAATTACTTAAATACCAAGTTTTATTTTTTTGCAGATTGCGAAAATGTTACAAAATCTTGCCAATAAACCTTCTTATGCGAAAGAAGAATATATGAACATGCTAAACCCATTTGTTGAGAGTAATAAACAGAGAATTAATAAATTTTTGATGGATTTGTGCGAAGTAGGAGATTTTTATGAAAGTCTAGAGGTAATTTTGTGCATTTAAGCATTGTTTTTTTTTTTTTTAAAAAAAAAAAATATTAATATTAATATTAAATATTAAGTAAACTTATCGAAAACTTTATTTATTTATAGATGGATCAATACATAACATTATCCAAAAAGGATCTGGTTTTGAATATCACGTTAAACGAAATATACAATACTCATGCCTTATTAATTCAACATAAAGATATTTTGGTATAAAATTTTTTTTTTATGGGATATCCTTTCTTTTAAAAAAAATTTTTATTTTAATTTTAATTCTAATTACATCAGGCACCATCAGAAAAAAGTCATTTACATATACTTTTAGATGATATCGGTCCTTCCCCTTCTCAGGTACCTAGGAAGGAAGATAGGACAATAGAACTTCCTTTATTTAGCCGATGGGAGACTCCCATACAAGGTATCATCACATTTTTTTGATTGTTACTTTCTTGACAATATTTACCTATCATATATCTATCATCTTTTCAGATCTTGCTTCAGCACTCATGTCTGATAATGGTGTTACTCAAAATGATATTTTATATATGGAGACCAAGTCTATTTTCGTACAGCTCATTCGTTCTATTCCACGAATGTCGGAACAAAAACAGATAAATTTACCTATTATTGCCGAAACGGCGGCAACAACCAAAGATGCTACTTTAGTTCGTAAAGGAATAAAGGTCAAAGAGATGCTTCGTGAACTTGAGGAAGCTCGGGTTATAGATCGTATAGATGATTACCGACTTATGAGAGAAGAAGTTTCACAAGAATTGGCACATCTTGGTAATCTTCGCGAAAAGATAACTGAAGAAATTCGGTCTCTCGAAGCAGTTTACAAGACTATATGCGATCATAATAATTATCTTAGGAATCAATTGGATAGTTATAAAGCATATTTGCAAAACGTGAGGCAACAGACTTCGACCGATCCCACTATCACGAGTGTGGTTAAAGTAGGAGATAAAGAGAACAAGCCCGCAAAGATGAAAGTTTTGGGCCCATATAAATTTACTTATGCGCAATTAGAAAAAGATGGAATTATTACGGAGAGCAGTGTTCCAGAAAATCGGTGAGTTTAAATTTTTCATGATTTATATATATATCTTTCTCATTTTTCTTTATTTATCTTAATAAAGTGTATTTATTTATTATAATTCATTTAATCGTATGAATTTAGACGACAGAATATATATATCAATATCATATCTCCAATTCCAGGTACCTTTGTTATTACGTTATATTATAAAGGTCGGGATGCTGCCATCTTGGAAATGGATCTTAAGCTAGATGATCTTTTAGAAAAGGTTATACTTTACTCGTAAAATATGTTATTCGATATGTAATTGAGAATTTTATTAATAGTATTATTCTTTAATCATTTAGCAACAAGATAATGTCGTTTCTTTGGATCTCGAATATGTGCAGTTTAATATTCCCAAGATTTTACAGCTATTAAACAAGACATTTTCCAAGAGAAAGACGTAGTTGTTGGAAATCAAATATTTTTTTTTTGTGATAATTATTTGTTTATTTTGTAATATTATTATTTATTATATTCCTTTTATTTTTATTATATTTATTTTCTTCGTTTCAATAGGGATGCTTACGATGCTTGGGGCAAATTGTGTCTCCCCATATGCGTGCATCTTCCTATTAAAGGATGAAAGTCACAAGAAAAAAATTGAGTTTGGTTATATACCAATACTACATTTCTCCGTACCACCTTTGAAGACATACGCTTTTGCTTTGATTTCTTTGAATCAAAATACTTTTTCACTCTTTTGGTACACATTCTGAAGTCACGGTTTTTTGTTTATCCGAATATACAGGACAATTGATGTATATAAAGAAAAATTTTTATATACAATTATTTATTGATATTAGTGCACTATTTGGGAAAGCAAAATTTGTCTGCAGGAACCAAGTAATGACAATATTATATATATTTATTTACTTATATATTTATTTATTTATTTATTTATTTTACATAATTTTCACATAAAGTATAAACAGCAACTTTTGTTATGTTTATATTAATAGTTTAGAATCACTTTGAAAAATTAATAATAATTTAAAAATATATATATATAATATATTTTTATATATATATTTGGTAGCATTATTGTTAAACTAATATAACTAAACTTGTATATAACGCTTATGATATAATATTAATTTATTTAATAAAGGTTTTTTTTAACCTTGATTTTTATTTAATGAATTATAAAGTTTTTTATTTAGTAAATAAAATTTTATATAATAAAATTTTCATTAAATTTTAAATAATATTATTGTAATATTTAAATAATATTTAAGATTTTAATACAAATGTCTTAATCATATCAAATAGTTAAATATTATTAATCAGAATTGTATCACATGATCTTTAAAGTTATGTATGTAGTTTTAAATTATGTGATAATTACAAAATCACAATATATATTTTCACAATATTAATATTACATTTTGTAATATTTTTATGATAGTTTTTAAATATAATTTATACTATTTTAATTTTTTTATTTCTATAAAATTTAATATCAAGATTAAATAAATGCATAAATTAGTCTTAAAATGAAAGCAAATAAAAAGTTCTAAAGAAATATTTCTATTACTATGTAATGTTTTATTAGATGCAAAATTTGATATGATTGATAAATCATAATTTAATGATTTTTAGATGAAAGATAAGAAAATACACTTTAATAATAATGAAATTATGCAATTATTACAAGTAATACAACTAAATATACTAAAACAATTAGTTAAAAATATAAAAGGATCATACATATAGGTTAAAAATCATATATGCTAATATATAAAAATGATACATAATCAATATTGTAAAATAAAAAGCAGATTTATGAAAAGTGATTTTATATTTTAAGAAGATTATTGACTAAAGTTATTAAGTCTAATATAGACAATGATGATCTTACACTTAATAATATTTATGATAGCAGCAATAATGATAATAATGAATTTATATTAGAATATTTAGATTTATTAAAAAAGAACAATGATTTATGATTTTAAACAATAAGTTAATTTCTTTATCTTATTTAAAATCAAAAACTCATCAAAATGTAAGTAAATAATTTTTTTATTTAAAATTTAAATAAAGATTTATAGCAAGCATGACTTATTTACTTCTAAACAAATCAATGGTTTAATAATAATACAATTATTAGTCTAAAGTATAATGTAGGACTATTAACTACAAGATAATATAATACAAGATGTCCATTTGTCTTTCTGCTCACTATTTAAGTTATTGATAATTAGTTCTTTTAATTTATTTAGTTTAATATTACTAACTAATAATAAAAAAAACCAAAATATACTGTTTATCCTGTTTAAGCATTATTTATTTTTTTACCTATTTATTTTTTATTTATTTTTTTTATTAAAAAAATAAATAATAATGCTAATAATATTAATAATAATAAAAATATAATAATAAATAAAATAAACTTTTTGTGTTTACGCTATTTCGGTATCATAAAGGTGAGTTATTCTTCTTCTTTTTTCCTTTCTTGTAATCTCTTATTATTCTTAATGCGTTTTAATCTATTGAAACTAAAAAAATTGAAATAAATATGGTTAGGTGAACGTATTCTTGATAACGTAATGAATAAAAGTTCAGCTGCAAATTTTTTGTTTTTTAGATTAATTTTTGCTTTGTTTAATGTGAATCCTTGACTTTTGTATACTATTATTGTCTACACAAGACATATTAGTATAAAGCTTCGAACAGTTCAGATTAATCCAAAAATTTTCAGTTCAGATTAACTTCAGTTCAGTTGCAGATTGCAAAAAAATCAATCTGAAAATTTTCAGCTCAGTTCAGATTTTTTTTGGATTATAAATTTAATCTGAACTGAAAAAAATCTGAATTGAACTGAAAATTTCAGATTAATCTGAAATTTCAGATCATTTGAAACGATTAAATTTATTATTCCAAATGAATGATAAAAGAATCGTTCAATTGAAATGATAAATTATCGTTTTAAACGAACGATAATAGAATCGTTCAATTAGAACGATAAAATTATCGTTCCAATCGAACAATAAGAAAATTGTCGATTAGAACAATCAAAATATCATTCTAAACGAACGATTAAAATATTGTTCCAATTGAACGATAAGAAAATTGTTCAATTAGAACAATCAAATTATCGTTCCAATTGAACGATAAAAGAATCATTCGATTGGAATGATCAAAATATCATTCTAAACGAACAATAATAGAATCATTCGATTGGAACGATAAAATTATCATTCTAAACGAACTAGTAGTTTTACCCAAATATCTGTTTATCTGCAATCAGGTGATCCATGATCTCTATCACAGATATGAATTACTATCTATGAGGAATCAAATAAATTCGGATATATCTGCATAGATAAATTCAGATTCACAAATTATAAAACGGATAAAGAACTTTATTTATTTATTTATTATTACCATCTAAATTTATTGTATTTATCATTTATTGACGCGCTAATTTTCTTTCAATTATAAAATAAAGAATCTCCATCACATGCTAAATTTAAAATCATATAACACACTATTTACTTAATGGAAAAACTCCCCAGCTAAGCACCAATTTTTCTTACAAAAAACTAAATTTTCTAACATATTCAGTTCCAATTGTGTTTTTTTTATAGATATTACATTACCAGCCTCGCTAAAAAGTCTCTCACTCAGAGTTGAGGTAGCGGGAATTGCTAAGTATTTTTTTGCTAATTTTGATAATACTGGAAATCAAGCTGAGTT